AGCTAGGACTCTGCAGGCTGTCCTCTCCAGTGTGAGCTCTTCTTCATCAGCTAGGACTCTGTAGGCTGTCACTAGCTCACTGCTTGTTCTCCTTCTCGCTTTCCCACTGTTTTCTTAGTCCCTTTCCACCAGGCATAAGTGAGATGAATGGAACTGTGGCCAAGGCTGGCCGATTGAGGCTGCTTGTCACGGTGCGTTAGAGTTTTTTGTTTGCTGCTGCTATTATCATCATCATTACTGTTACTTTGCTAGGGGACATGGTAACTATTTGTGTTTTGTTCTAACCTCTGAACCAGGAGGCCTTTGGGTGGCCTTATATGAAGGGGAGCTACAGAACTCTTATTAGCAGTTGTGACAGTAGATGGTGTCTTTGGATTTCTGTGTGTTTGTTAGTTAATCCCTTTTTGCTTATAAATGTTATTTTTGTCTTCAGCTTTTTTGCATTTTAAAGTGTTAACATCTTATTACTCATGCTGGTCTAAGATCTTTAATGACCAAGTGGTCAGGACTTCAGTTCAGGACATCAGGACATCAGACTGTCACCATAGAAAGCATTGGTTTGGAAATTCTGGTCTAGTTGAAGAGCGCCACCTACTGGTCCACCAGCACCACTTACAGCGGCCAACTGTTTTTTTTTTCCTGAGCAAATATTTATTTCACAATTTTAATTACAATTTTAATCAGAAAATATTAGCTTCTTACGTAAAACACATCAAACTCACCATCTCTCCAAACTGCAAATGTAACCTGAAACTGACCTTTTTGCTGCCATTGTGATAAATTGTACCTTTCTATTTTGGCTAGAAACAAAACTGCACTACCATAAATAGTGTGGTGCTTAATGACTATTTGGCTGCAGTAGTGTTTGCCATGCAATTATTTTGGATTGTGAAATGAAGGCAAATTCTTCGCAAATACTGATAATATGAAGTACGTCATAATCAGTGTATTTTCCACTTTTAACAGGGCATGTGTTTTTATAAGCTTTTTCAAAATGTAACTCCTCTGAAAGCTCAGTATATTCAATGTGCAAATTCTATCAACTGAGTATAATAGCCGTTTATGTTTCTTTATTAATTATTATTGTCACCACATCTTAAATTCCTTGTGGACGCTTCTGTGTGTAACTGGCCTAGCTCAGTGCTGATGATGTGATGACTGTTTTGCAGCTCCAGAATGTACTCCGCAAGGCCACCAGATCCTTCAGAACCCTTACAGGAGTGTCAGCTTCGACTCCCAGAGGCTCCAGCAGTCAGCCATTCAGGATTTGATATGCGACCACTCCTTGAGCCCAGGATGGTATCAGTTTCAGATCTTTGACAAGCCAGCTAGCATGCCTACTAAATGTGTGGAGGTAATGTTTCACTAGGCTGATCGCTAAGTTGTTTATGTCTCTCACTGGCCGTTGAGATTTTTTATGTATAACCTGGCCCACCGAGCCCTACCAAGCAGTTTGGTACTGTAGATGTCTTTCTGCTGGTTGAGGGAGTCTGGAACAAACAACCCAGTCAGAAATTGCAGGATGGAATGAGATCGTCAGAGTATTAGCTACTACTGTAACTACCAAACGGTCCAGCTGGGTTTAATGGTCTCGTCTTGTTTCTCATGCTCTCAAGGAGACAATGGGAAAATATCTGAGACAAATAAAGAAAAAATCTCCATCCAGGTTTCCTACATTTTATGAACACTGTATTTCCGGAAGTCTTTCTGCTGAAGGACAGTTGCATATGGGTGGCATGGTGGCCCAGTGGTTAGCTTCGCAGCGCTGGGGTCTTGGGGTTCTGTTCCTGGGGTGCTGTCTGTGAGGAGTTTGTATGTTCTCCCGGTGCTTGCGTGGGTTTCCTCCCACAGTCCAAGACCTAGAGTACAGGCAGATGAATTGGCTTCTGGGAGAATCATCTCTGGTGGGAGTGTGTGTCTTTGTGTGCCCTGCAATGGACTGGTGTCCCATCCAGGGTGTAGCCCACTTTGCGCCCGTTGCTTGGTGGGATAGGCTGTGGTCCTGGATTGGATCAAGTGTTCTCTGGCTTGTGTTTTTAGGTGAATCACTGCGGAACTCAAGCCCCAGTGTGGCTGTCCTTGTCAGACGGGGAGTCTCTTCCCCGGCCCATGGAGGTCAAACAGCTCACCGCCTGTGCAACCTGGCAGTTTTTCTTAAGCGGCACCAAGGACTGCTGCCTCTTTCGGATCCCTGTCAGCGTCAGGAACTGTGGTGATTTTTACGTGTATCTGCTGCAGCCCACTCAGGGATGCATGGGTTACTGTTCAGAGGGTAAGAATGTCAGTAAGACCCTGTCTTCATCTCTATACATCCCACATGCACTACTTCCAGGGAGGCTCACCTATCACAGTGACCTTGTTTTTGGTCCAGGTTCTCATTTTTTCACTGAAATAGTTTACTGGCATTACTTGTTAGTGCAGAACTCTCTGTGACAATCTGAAGATGTCTTAGGTCGCAGGAAGATCAGCTGAGGCACTGTTCTTATAGCATCTAAGACACTAGATTATAAATGTGCTGAATTTCTGTGATCACTGTTGCAGTGGAGGCAGTACACTCACTTTGCAGTGTGGTTGTGTTTTGCAGTGGTGTCCGATTCAAAACCAGCTCCCTGTGGTCCTGGGGAAACATATATTGGTGGACATTGTAGAGGTACATGTTTGTGAGCAGTAAATAGAAAATCAGAGGGGTCAAAGTTTAGTCATTATAATACAAACAGAAGCCATACAGGGTCATATTAAAGCACATTTACACACTTGCCTAATCTATGGAAATAAGAACTCTACCAATAAGAAATATATTATTATACAGTATATTTCTTATTCCCACAGATTAGGCAAGTGTGCAAATACTCTTATACTCTATAATACACTTTTTTTTTGTGCCTGATTCTTTCTTAATTGAAGTGCAGGTTGTAATTTGTAATTGGTGAAGTTAAAATTTTAATTACGGCCTAAATGTAGCATGAACCATGTAGCAATACAACAAAATTATTCATACATAAAATATCTGGTTATTCAAGATGGTTTTGCAGAAATCAAATGGTTTAATTCTACATAGGTGGTCATTGATATAATTTGTCTATTAAATGAGTCCTACTCAAAGGGATTCTGTGAACAAAAAGCTAATTTACTTCACAGTGGGCAAGATATTGTATAATAATATACAATTAAAACAATATCTAAAAGTGACACAACTGAGGCTTTTATTTGTGTAATGTGTGTTTTTTTTGTTATTATAGGGAATCTCCCTCCCTCACCATCAGTTCCTGAAATTGTGGCAGAGTATGCCGGTGAGAATATTTACCTAAAATGCTCCTTTGATGGACAGAATGCGAACGTCTCTTTGGGATACGTCGTCGCATGGTCTCGGCTGTCTCCACACGGGACCAGGGAAGAACTCAGGCAGGAGACGACTGTGCAGACCTTCTCATTCATCGAACTGGATGGAATAAATCTTAGACTGGGCGACAAGGTGCAGTGTGACCCGGGATCGAGCATAATTCAGTCAGATTGCTCTGGGGAACAACTCAAGCAAGAATGTTATATATATTTTTTGTGTTCTCAAAGTACACTGTGTATAGAAATCTGGCCCATCTAGCCAATTTGATTGTTAGTAGTAGATTCATCTGAAATTCCTGAGACCCAGTTGTTTCATGAACGAAGCCAGGGTATTGCCTTGAACTGCAAGCTGGACAGCTTGTCACATACTCCTACAACTCTGTGTGTTACTGCACCTCCACCCTTCCACTTATGCCTTCCGGTGTTTGTTTCACTGTACGGGCACTGAGGGACGTACAGAGTTGTGAAGCAAAAAAAACCAACAAATTAGGATCTGTGAGGTCTTTCTCAGTGAAATCTGCAACTGATGTGAAATAAGAATATACATTTTGGAATTAAGAATAATTTCCTTCTAAAGAAAAGGCAAATGTTTTTCACAAGTGGTTTCACCATCCCTTTGGTCCTTTGGTTTGATAATACTGTCAAAAAAAATTAAAAATGGCATTTCAGAAATATGTCTAGAAATAGCAAAAATTGCTAAACAGTTTTCATCAGACCTTGTTAAAACCTAAATGCAGTGAATACTGAATATTTAGTCATCTATAAATCATGTGATTTGTTTATGATTAATAGATTTACTGCCGTAGTTCCAGCTTCTTTTTGGAGTCACCAGACGTCCGCAGCACACCAGTGGAGAGCCAGGAATTCTTTGCTGGAATCAGGGTACACCAGAGCAAACCGATCCGAGTTCATCCTAAAATAACGTACTGCAGGCAGTTGTGCTTTTAAATATCTTTTTGATTTGAAAAAAAAAAAACAGAATCGATCATGAGTAGTCATGGAATGACTCTTTCTTCTTCTAGCTGAAACCAGAGGTTTCATCCATATCAGAAGATGGTAAGGAATATAAACTAAAAGTTGAGAGCACAGTGCCCATTCCCTGCTCTGAGGGGCTTCCCAGAGAGGACTGCTCCATCACCCTCCATCTCAGCACCATCAGTGAAGGTAAACGCTTTGTGTGGAACAGTGAATAAGTGTAGTCAAATACAATATCAAGATGGGTAGCAGTAGCATTAGCTGCCAGGGAGGAATATCAGTTAGTGCCTCAGGACTTGTAACTGGAAAGCTGTGGCTTTAAATCCTGGTTGGGTACAGTGCTGTTCAGCCCTTGATCAAGACATTTCATTTCTGCTTGCACCTGTATCATACATGAATAACAGCAGAAGTGGTAACAGCTCCCATCAATTGCAAGGACACTGTATAAATGGGGTAAAATGCAAGAAATCATCAGCCAACTAAAAGAAATATTATGGGGAAGAGCTGCAATGTGTGAATTCATGCTGTGCAGGAGCAGTTCAGGCTCTGCTGGGCCGTTCTCACCAGGCCTGTGTGGAGAACTCAAGGAGTGAGGGGGACACAAGCTGTGCCCCTTACTCAAGAGTGGGACAGTTTGCATTCTGTTGTTCTGTCTCTGGAATGGGCCTTTATGTTGGACTTTCTTCCTGTATTAGTTCTTCATTTGTATAACTAAGTTTGGGCCAAAAGCCTTTCACCTTGGTATGGACTTCGTTGTATTTGTACAGTATTTTCCTCTCGATCTTTTCAGGTGAAGCACGTTTCGGCCCGAACGTTGTTCTGTCGTCCTGCCAGATTGATCTCCTACAGGGGCCTTGCGTTAACGGGAGCTGTGCTTCTGCTGTTGTGCACTACACAGCAGTGACGGACTTTGTGCAGGATGGTGACAGAGTCACTGAAATCACAGTCAAACCCCTGGGTAGAAACAGCTTTCTATGGAGTGGTTATATACCACAGGGCGTCCAGGTGAGACAGTGTCCCATTAGTTCACTGTTATAGTCAAGATCAACATTCAGGCATGGAGTGTTGGGAAGAAAACCATCAATCATATCATATTTGAATAGAAATCTTTGCTTGACTGTGCCATCCTTTGACTTTTGATGGAAATAAGAAATTACAACATCATCTCTTGCCCCCAAAAAAATCTTCAGAAAAACTACTGCTGTCACATGTACAGTACAGAGTGAAAAAAACAAGTGAAAAAATGTTTCATTTAACTCCTGGAATCAGAGACTTGATCCTGTTTTACTTATTTATACAACATCATCTGAGTTTAAACTCCAGAAAAAAATAGTACAATTCCTTATTCCATCATAAGCAATGAATACTGACTTGTCTTGCTGTGAAGACCCTTCAGGCTTACTTTAGAAGTTTGAACATCCAGCGTGTGTAGTGCCCGACTACAAACCGAGAGTAATTTGTATTTTTTGCAGATTGAGGTCAAGGATATTCCTTCTTCTTATTGCTATGCATTTACAGACCCTCACATCATAACATTTGATGGAAGGTACTGCAAAAGCTTTATTAGTATTGTATTATGTGTTTGCTTAAAGTATACAAAGTAAACATTTTTGTTGTGTATTGTATTGTTTTATTTCCCACGTGTTAGGTGAAATAGTATGTGCGTTTCATGTTAATTTTATTGAGCTCAATATTTTTGCTTGAGGTTCAATGTGTTTAAATATTCTTGTTAGACTGCCAGCTGCAGACACTTGTGACCGCTTGTTTTTCTACTGCATAGCTATGCAAGGTTCGTTATAAATATCCTGGGCAAGGTGTATATCATATTGATTTTTTTGAGCTGCAATGACTGTTTGCACATAATGAACATGACTTGAAAAAGGAGTTTTAAATTCATGTTAACTGCCTTATAGAATTCAGTGCTGTGGTTACATGTAGTGCATTTCAATGGCGTAAAATCAAATCAGCCGTTTTCTGACTTTGTTCTTCTTTGTAGGAGTTATGATAATTCTAAGATTGGGACTTTTGTGTTCTATAAGAGCTCACTGCGGGAGTTTGACGTTCATGTCCGGCAGTGGGATTGTGGGAGCTTACATTTTCCAGCCTCCTGCATCTGTGGCTTTGTAGCCCAGGAAGGAGGAGATATTATTGCCTTTGACATGTGCAACGGACAGCTCAGAGAAACTAGACCACACCTCTCAGTGAAGAACAGAAATCTTGTTAGTAATAATATCAAAATCACAGAATCTTACCAAGGAAGAAAAGTAACAGTAAGTGGACTTTTTTAAACCATGTTACAATAACTTAGGTCTTTATGAATTTATATTTCTTAATGGCGCATAAAATAAACTGTTTCATGCACTGTACAGTATGTGCTTGTCAGGCACAAGTTCCTTTAAAGCTAGGTTAAAGTATGTCCTAATGTCATATAATGCTAATTATTATAATTTATGAATGATAAAATATACAAAATAACATAAGAGCAGCAAAATTATGTGCTATTTATATGCATTGAACATTCCTTTATGCTTTGTTATCCTTAAAATAAACATTTTGAAGTATTCCTGTTTCAGTATTTTCTGAATAAAGAGAAAATAGTGTATCTACTATTACACATCCATACTGTATACTGTATTTCAATGTATTGCTCCTTTCAGGAATGGCCTACATATTTTCTTTTGTTGTAGATCACATTTTCTTCAGGAGCCTTTGTTCGTGCTGATGTAGCTGACTGGGGAATGAGCTTAACCTTCAGGGCACCCAGTTCCGATTATGGACATACAGAGGGTCTGTGTGGGATATTTGATGGAGATCCTGGAAATGATTTTCACAGGGTCAGTGATGGGGCTACACTTCAGGATCCTTTAGCATTTATTAATGAATGGAGGTAAGTCCAGACATTATTGAACTTGTTTCCAGGGGAAAGAACAGACCCCATGTGGTAGGGACCATGCTTATAATACATGTTGAAAGATGAATATTTGCGAGTGTGTATAGGATAAGATCAGGCTTTATTGATCCCAAAGGGAAATTGAGGCGTTTTGTACAGTATGTGGTATGTGATCATGTGTGGTCAGGATTAAGAAGTTGATTATTTAAGAGAAAAAAATACCACCGGCCTATCAGAATTCTTTCTCATACTCATCCTTTTTTTCGGAATTGGAAGCAGAAATAAAGTGATATACAGCACATCATAGGTTAACCTAAGCCATGTAAAACATTTAATAAAAGAATAGTATAAATTGTTGACAGATATTTTTAAAGCTTGTTTTTTCATGGTATCTAAATCACTAAATTTCCCTTTCTTGTTTTCCCAGGATTTCTCCAGGGAACAGTTTGTTTGACAGAGTGCCTTCCTTTGAGAGCCCCCAGAAGAAACGAAACTTTTGCAACTGCGGGGGAGACCCTCTGGGGACTGATCCGTCTCCTGACAAGCTGCTTTCTCCTCTGAACCCAGGACCCGTATCTCCTTGCACTCGCCGTGAAAATGTTAGGCTGTCAACTCTAATACCGACCCTGGACATCACAGCCGAGTACGTCCACTCGGTGGAGCTGGTCCGGGGCCTGGACAAGCGCGAGGCTGGGGCCGCGGGGAATTCTCCGGCTGTGGTCTTGACCGGAGCTCACCGCCTAAACGGGAGCCAGTTTGGAGGACCGGCAGCGGGACAGAAGGCTGCCTCCTCGCATCCCGGCTCAGAGAGCCGAGGGAAAGATCCCTCTCCCAGCAGAGGGCTCAGCCAGGCGCACAAGCAGGCCATTCCCAGCTATGGGAGACAGCTCAGCAGAAGGAGCCGGTGGAAGCGCCAGATATACTATGGATATAGTGCAAACGCCCCCTACCAGAGCCTCAGCCAGACAGACCTGGAAGGCTTCGGTTATTTCTTCCCAGAGGACCACGCGACAGATACTCGGGCCGGTCCTGTGCCCTCCTGGCCCACCCCGTCGGGGCTCACCGAGCCCGGAGCGGCCGAGCTCTGCCGCCGCTCCGTCGCCAACTCCAGCGCGGGCGCGGGCTGCGCCCGGTGGCTTGGCGGGAGGGTGCAGGACGCCGCCGTGGGCATGTGCGTCCGGGACCTGCAGCTCAAGGACGACCTGGGCTGGCTGGGCGCGGCCTCGGCCCTGCTGGAGAACGAATGCGAGCGGCGGCTCCTGGAAGGCGGGGACTTCGGGGAGCAGAGGGGGAGCGCGCTGTCCGTTCTGAGGTGTCCAAACCTCTGCAGCGGGAACGGGCAGTGCACTGAGTGGGGCTGTGTGTGCTTCCAGGGTTTTGGTTCCTACGACTGCAGTGTCTTATCTGGTAGGTGTAGCCTGTACAAGGCACATTAAGCTTGAATATGGAAGTATACTAAAGGGGGATCTTATTTATATATCCCGAACCGACTCGTGTGTTAATTCATTTCTTTGCCATTTTTTTTTAATCTCCAGGTCTCGGGTCTTTAAAAATAGGCAACTGTGGTCATTATTACCGCCTTTGTTTATGTTTTACATTTGCTAGATATGAGCAGCAAATCACAGTATTATCATTGAATGATGATGTGGTGGAAAGCTGGTGTTGAGATTCAGAAATCCGTAGGGTAGCATCAGTGTCGCTAAACAAGCAATTCTGGTCTAGGTTAATTGGTGTTTCTAAAGTTCCCCTATATAAAGGGGCACCTATATAGTATATATGTGGGCCTTGCGATGGACTGGTATTCTGTCCAGGATATAGCTTACCTTGTTTGTCAGGATAGTGTTCTGCCTTACATCAACCCTGTATTAGACTAAGCGGTTACTGAAAATAATTATATATTTAATTTTATATCTCCCAAAATGAACAGAACTGCTTGAAATTTGAAAGTTTTCTGCTCTTACCTCACTTCATTTCTGCACAGCACAATTAATAGATGTTGTATGACTGTTATTTACATCCTCAGGTATTTAGTTTCTTGTTCTTTAAAAATCTGTGTTTTCTGATTGTCGGCTTGTTTGTCTTTTTCAATATTGAGCTGACGACCAGATTCCCCAAATCACAGATCTAGAAAATGCCGGACTTTGTGATGTCCGTCAGTATGACTGCACTTCGGTACGGGTTTTTGGACACCATTTTAGGGACTCTTTTGAGCTGAAATGCGAAGTCATAAAGGAAAGGGTACGTTTTGTTATTCATCTCTGTGAATGTGATGTGTCAAGGGATCTGTCCTCTTGCACTGCTAAGTGCTAAGTGCACTGCTAAGTGCAAGAATGTCTAAAAGGAATTTTCACAATAAAATGTCTTATTTGCTGTTTGACTACATTTAATATAAAAAATAACTCACCGCATAAAGTCTTCTCCTGTTTTCAGAATTGCTTCTCTTCAAGTAAGCAGCTGCCTCAGCATGCATAGGCTGCAAAGCAGCAGGTAAAGGTTTATTCCAGGCTGAAAGGAAAAGAAAAGACACACAACATCTTCAGGTGTGCAAAGCCCCAAAGACGAAAAATTGTGTCTCTTTTCTTTTCCTTTCAACGTGGAATAAACCTTTACCTGTTCCACGGCTTCTCCTCTAGGTACAATCTCAGATTTATACATTTAACTAAATACTTTCTTTTCTTCAGATTCAATTCAGATTAATTCCTCAGACGCTTTCATTTTCTTAACCCATTTTCTTATTGTATCCAAGAGTTGAATTCACTTTCCCCTGGAAATAAAATGCCTTGTAATAGCAATAGCAATATTAGTAATCAACACTACTACTCCACAGCTTCAGGGTCCTGGGTTTATCAGTTGTCAGTTTCTCAATCAGATCTGATTATCTGGGGGAATATTATATTTAAAGAGTGGGATTAAAGCTTTCTCTTTTATTGCTTATCAACAGTATGTTGGTGACGAGTGGGTTCTTGATGAGCCTCGATTTACAGTCGCCACCTTCTTCAGTAGCAACGTTGTGGACTGCCAGTTGCCATCAGAGAGTAGACCCCCTTCAGACACTTTGGACATAGATATGGTTGATGATAAACCCATTGCCAGGTGGCAAATTAAGGTACATCTTATCACTGCGGTGCTTATTTTGAAAAAAAAATCAGAATTCTGTGTACCATTGTTCAGGAAAATTCTCTTTCTCCAGGTTACCAACGATGGTTATGGATTCAGCAATGCAAAGACCCTGACGTTGTACGATGGTGCATGTCAGACATGTGAACCCCACCCGGAAGGCCTCTGCACATTAAAAGTATGTTTAATCATTTTATACATATTGTGCAACCTGAAAAATTGCGTGCACTTGAAATGTTTGTGCATACAGCATCATCTGAAGACTCTGCAAACACATACAGTAAGCATAATTTATGTATCTGAAAGCATTACTATCAGCAGGGATGTACTTAGCAGATGCCCTCATCCAGGGCAGTTTAAAATATATGCCAGGTTTACTTTAGGTGTAAATATAATGATCAATCACACAGGTACAGAACGGTAAAATGTCAGCTGACAGAGCAGTGCATGTGCTGCACCCATAGATGAAAGAGTATGCATTAAAACATTTCAGTAAACACCCTGTTTGTATGTATTTCATGTTTACAAGGAATAAGAACAACTAGTGAATTACATTACCAACCAGTGCGAGAATTAAAAGAATTAGCGCAATACTTCGTAAGAGTCACGGAAGAATGTAGCTGAGAGCTGAGAGACCATAGGTGCTGTCTGAACAGGTGAGACTTGAGCAGGAGCCGGAGGGTTGATGAGGGACTGAGGAATCCAGATTCCTGTGGGCTGTTCGTCTCAGTAGGGTGGGGAATGAAAGGGCTCTGGCAGTGGGAGAACGGACAGAGGGGGCCGGACACCAGGTGGACAGAGGGAGAGCGGAGAGAGTGAGGAGGGGCATAGCGACAGGCGAGAGACGGGAAGTAAGCAAGAACAGAGCAGCCGAGACACAGCCCAGTGTGTGGAGGGACTGCAGTACTGCAGCAGAATGAGAAAACCAGAGCAAAGATGAGAAGAGGCAAGGCGAGCCATAGCAGTCTGGACAGGACGGAGTGGGTGGAGAAAGGCTTAGGCTAGTTAGGCCAACCCAGAGGGAGTACTCGTCCTCTGTGTGGGAGAGAACCAGGGCAAGTAGAGTAAGACAGAGTGAGTGGAATTATCCTGTTTACGGCAACAGCCCGTGCTCGACCTCCCCACAGTGGGGGGCATTTCCTCTCCCTGGGGAACAAGCACGAGGTGCGTTCAGCAGGTCCAGTGAATGCACGGCCTGCGACCGTGTGCCTGGCTGGATGGGATGGGGAGGGAGGGAGGGGGCTGTGGAGCGTTTGAGCTGTTCTTGCAGCTGTCTGCCTCACTGTTCCCACAGTTAACATTGCCTTTACTACCTCAAACTCAGGAAACAATCTAGTGTTTATATGTCAGAGGTCACGTCCTAACGACTTAATGACAATTGAATGCTATGCATTTTTCTTGGTTTGTTTTAGTTCTCCTTTATGTTTTATTGGGGTTATCCTCTGATATACAGTGTGCTCATCCCAAGCATTCCAATCATTTGTGCAATGCAAATTTTACTGTTCTGAATAACGGGATTTATTGCTCTTGTGCTCATTTAGGAAAAGACCTGTAACATAGATGGACTCTGCTATGCAGAAGGAGACTCAAATCCCACCAGCCCATGCCTGATGTGTAGACCAGACTCATCTAAATTCACGTGGTCTGTTGCTGAAAGTATGTAATAGAACACTATAAAGAAATACCATTCAGTATTCTTGCCAAAGTGCACTCCAGATATGCACATGTTCATGTCATTTATGGTATTGAAAAGGTATCAGTTTTAGTGAATGAGACAATATTCATATTTAGAAATGCCCCTTTGTAGCAACATGCCAATCTGAAAAAATACAAACTTCAAAGATATTAGTGCCTCTTTTCCATTTCAAGCAGGGTTTGCATTGTAAAAGTCACCAATATTTGTTCTTTCCTGAACATTAAACTAAGACACTTTTCTTGACCATGAAGGTTACAAAACAGGAGGCCAAGATATACAGTAGAAGTCTTGATCATTTAAGAAAGCTGAAAAATCACACAAGTCTATTTCCAGTGCATATTATCTTCAGGACAAAATGTGTCCATTTCCATTCTGTTCCAGCCTGTAAAGAGCTGCTATTGACCAAAGGTGCGATAAGAACAATCAACCAGAGGCCTTTTAGCCCATATAGCACATTAAGCCCATTTGGTAGTCAATACCTAACTGTGGATGTTATTCAGCCATTTCTTGAAAAAAGCCAGGGTATGGACTTCAACAGCAGGGCTGGGTAGCTTGTACTGTACTCCCACAACCCTTTACATTGACAAGTGCCACCTGTTTTCGAATGTCCTTCCACATTCTGTGGTTTTTACCTGTGGCTGCTGGTTCGTATCTCGCTGCTGTTTCTGAAGAAGTAAAGTCTGTCTTTTGTTGCCCCCCTATTCCCCACAGAAAACGAACCTCCGGAGTTCCAGCCCGTTCAAGAGCTCCGCACGTTCTATGGTGAAAACTTTGTGTATCAGTTTCTGGCATCAGATCCCGAAGGCTCGACTGTCCTCTTCACTTTAGAGTCAGGACCCAGAGAAGCAGTCCTCTCCCCTGCTGGGCTGCTGATTTGGAAGGTCGTGTCAAGTGCTGCTTTGCAAACGTTTGAATTTGCTGTGACAGATGACTGCAATGCACAAACCAGAGCCTTCGTGCAGGTAAAGAAAATAACGTTTTTTGCTTTCCAACTCTGGTACCTGACTCTTGGAAAAAGCACGCATGGTATTCAACGTCTTCCTTTGAATCCAGGAGCACTTCAAATCCAGCAGTTTAAACAGCAATATAACAATAAAAGTCTACTAAGTAGTTAATTATGGATTTTCTATTAAAATGGTAGGGGTCAAAAAAGCTTGTTAGCATGTTAGCAGTTTGTTTGGAACCATGTATATGCCATTATATTTTCCCTTAAAAACAGAACACTACATATTGAATCTGTGAACCATATCACCACTTATAATTGTGTCACTATCTTCTTTGTAGTTATGATATATTATTCTGGTTACAGTACTCAAGCAATTGATAGGATTAGTGGCTGGATGTTTCTGTACCGTGGCTGCTGTGTAGCATATAAAAGTTAATGTGGAAATTATGCAGTTACCTTGTTTGCTTCGCTATGCACAAGAACACTTAGCTTTAACTAACCACTGTTTCTTTCCTGTTCATCCATCATTTGGTCATTTATGATTAATTCTGTTTAATCACATTAAACGGAGTAAAGTGTCATCACAGTTAAAACTGAAAGCGTGTTCCTAAACATGAGCCACTAGGGGGAGCTATGAATATGTGATACATTTTTCAGTTTTGCGGTTTCCATGAGACAAAAACTGTGAACGGTTCTCAATTTCCTTAACCCAAGGAACCTGTCTGCTACTGTAGGTTGCCATCCAGCCGTGTGAATGTTTGAATGGGGGATCCTGTGTAACAGACATTAATTTTCCCCCTGGAAGTGGGGAATATCTGTGCGTCTGCCCTCCTGGGTTGGAAGGAGAGAGATGTGCAGTGGACACGGATGAGTGCAGGTCTAGTCCATGTGGGCCAGGCCGATGCGTGGACAGACTGAACTCATATTTTTGTGAATGTCCATCTGGATTGAAAGGTAAATGTGTTGTTATTATTATTACATCATTTATGCTGGGAAACAGTGTACTTGTTTTTAAGAGTGTAAAATGAGATGTTTTTCTTTCAGGCACTGACTGCCAGGAAGATGTTGACGAATGTGTCTCAAGCCCCTGTTCCCCCGGGGTCTTGTGCAACAACACTTTTGGTTCCTATGTGTGTGGACCATGCCCCTTAGGTTTTTTTGGAGATGGGAGGACGTGCAGACGTATGTTTTTGATTATTTTTGTTTGTGGTAGATGTTGCTTCTGGGGTTCATTGCAGAAAAACAAACAAAGTTATGAATGTGACGCTCTTATGCTAAAAACACTAAATGACTCTTGTGTCTGGAAATCCTGTTATCTTTATTTGGCTTTTGTGGGGTTGTATGTTTGTTGTTTTGAATCACAAAACACAGTAGCTAGATACAGTAGTTAAGTAACTAAAGCAGGACATATTTTAGAGGAAAACCTTGAACATCAAATCCTATTTACTGAAACTGAACACATTTATGATAACTGATCTGCAATGTGATCAATATTAAGTTCTCAGCATGACCTTTCTTACTGTTTTAAAGGAAAAACTGAGGTGCATACTCCCAGTTCCCGTGATGATAGTGGTTTGGAGGATGTGGAGGTTGATGAAGGCATTCCCGACCCATCTTACAGAGACCAAACTAGTGTTGAACTTCCAGCTTCTGGTCCCAAGACTGTTTCTGGCAAGTAATACTAAATTCTGTTGGGTTCAAAATGTATTGAGCATTCAAAGGATCTAAAAACATGAAAAGGCGAGTCAAATTTAATGTAAATTCCTGTAACTAAGTGTAATTTTACATGTCATCTCCTGATTGCTAACTGCAGTCTTTTTATATTTTTTTAATTAAACATGCACATCACTGTCCATGAGGTGTGCACTGTAGATATACAGCTAACTAAGTCCTTGATGTTTGTAGTAACTGTTTTTATTAACTGTATCAAGGGGAGGGGTGATGGAGAGGTGCTGCTTACTGAATTTACTCCAGGCCCTGCACAACCCTGAGGATTGGAATGCAGTGCAAATCGTGCTGCTTTTCTCAGATGTGTAAAGACGTTTCTGATGCCCTGATCACACTTCAGGTGACACCAGCAGCTGCTCCAGCCAGCCCTGTTTCCCAGGGGTGCGGTGTTTTGATCGCAGACCTCCAGAGACAGGCTTCACCTGCGGATCCTGCCCTCCTGGATTTGTAGGGAATGGTCATAGGTGCAGAAGAGTCCTATTTCCCAGTAAGGATGTTTTTTTTTACTGTAATTTTACCTCAATAAAAGTGATCAGAATTAACCTCAGTACTGACCAAATTAATTTTAATTGGTCTTTTATGATACATGGAGTTTATGACAGATGTTTGGGAGGAAGGCTAGATAGCAATCTCACAATCTTCTGCTCGCCTGCATATTTAAATCTCACATCCAGGTCTTCTATGTGTGTATCTCTCTGGCATCCCGTCCGCCACCCCATCTACACCTTTGAAGCAGCTCCCTGGCTCATTCTTCGCAACAGTGAGTGAGCTGAGTGACTCACACCAAACATATTTCAGCCCTCTACGGCATTCATTAGGATCACAGCAAACTACTGAACAGTGACATTGTTAGTTCTTTGTGACACAGAAATATTGGTGTCAGCATTATGCTATTCAGCTGTTTTTAAATCACATGGGTTGAATGCCATTTGTGGACATTTACTCAGACTACTCAGAACCTGGCTCTGTTTCTCAATTTGCTTGGTACAAAAAGGAAAGGGCATGTAAGAATGTCTCTTTAATGGTGTTTTCACAAATAAATTGCTACCTTGTATTTCTAACGTAAAATAACCTTTTGACTGTCAATGCTTTATATTTGCCATCTTACACAGTAATAATATTGTCTTGACGTACTCTCTAATGACTCCTTATATATAATTTGCAGCTTTCAATAACACTATTAGTTATGGGAAATCAAATGCAATATTTTTTCACGACTGTATTTTCTTAAAGTCAGCCTTCTGATGATCATTGTTTCACAGGACCAAGGCCAGTGACTACTCCAGCTGGCAGGACGGTGATTGCCACTACCACCTCTGCAACTACTCGTGTGAGAGCTGAAGGGGTGACGCCTTCACAGTCGGACAGGACAACGGAGAACCATCCCCGCATTCACAGGCCCACAGCCCACTTCCCCCAGACTCGCAGCAGGCTGCCGAGGCCGGAGCAAAGACCCGGCGTGCCAAGCAGAACCGCCGCCTTCCCCGCGGGCCTCCCGATTCCCAAGCCACCGGTAGCCGAGACTGAAGCGGGCAGGCGGCTTTCAAAGAGTAAAGAGGAGCTGCCCGGAGACGCCAGAGGCAGGAGCGTCCCCGCAGGCCGGCTGCCTGAAGACAAGGGCGTCTCCCAGGCCGGAGTTCGCCCTGCTCGCAGAGGCTGGCCACATGGGCTGGGCGTCTCTGGCACTGCTGCGCCGCCGGAGCTGTCGGACCCAGAGGCGGGGACGACCTCGACAAGCCTGACTGTCACTTGTGCCGATTCTCCGTGCTTCCCTGGTGTGCCGTGTGAACCCTCACTGGCGGGAACAGTCAAATGCGGCCCCTGTCCCTATGGATATTCTGGCAACGGCATGCACTGCACAGGTGGTGTTTTGTTGTTGTTTGTTTGGTGTTTATCAGTGGTAAATTCAGTTCTTTTTAGGATTTTAGGACCTTTCAGGAATCCATATAGTCTTTCCCTTAAGCTTCACCAGAGGACTTTGACAAAGATGGAGGGAGACCATAGCAGAATGTTAAAGCTCTGTGTTTTTAATGTGACTTAAGGTCTGTGATAAAATGTCTCTTTGTCTTTGAATAAAAGTAATTATTTTTTTGTGTGAATAAACATGAGTTTTGATAAAACATAACTGGAACTAGGTGTTGTCCGTGTGAAAATACTTACTACCCTCCCTTAATTTACTATTTTGCAGCCATGTGCCGATATCCCTGTGGCAGAAATATGGAATGTGTGTTACCCAACACCTGTAAGTGCAAGCCAGGATACACCGGATACAGCTGTCATATTGGTAAGGGAAGATCTTGGTCATCTCGGTCAGTGTTGCTGGCAGGTTGTTTTCTTCAGTAATCGGTCCTATGGAATTCTGTCTTACACAGCTGTGTGCCGGCCAGACTGTAAGAATCGAGGGAAATGCATCAAACCCAACGTATGCAAATGTGCTCTGGGATACAGTGGCTTAACGTGTGAAGAAGGTAAATGTGATTTCGTAAATGTGGTCACAATCTGTTTAAACGTGAAAGCATTTGAAATGCTTGCAATGCAGAAGTTAGTTTTTCTGTTTAGGTTTCCTTGAGCTCTCTTGACTTAAGAGACTTCTCAACTGGATTTTACACCCACAAGTTGCGAAGGATGGAAGTATTTGCAGAGCGGATTTTCTTCATCAAAGTAATGCTACCATAAGGAATGGACTCACATTTTCAGGAAGTGTTTTGCATGGCATCATGGAAATATGGAGAACCAATTCATTAATTGTGATATTAAAGGCTTTTTGTTCTCAACATCTTGAGATAATATTGCTGAAGTAAAAGCTCCCAGAAGTAAAAGCATTCCTTTTGACTTGTTGGTAAGAGCACGGTAATCATCAAGCAGGATAATTCCATTGCATTTCACCGTTTATTTGTCAGAATGAAACTCCTTCTGCCATAGGAAAATAGTCTAAAAAATCTGAGTAATTATTTGCACTTAATCCTGTGGTGTTCCTTGTTACTGTGCACTGTAATTACAATATAATTGCAACATGGTGTTACATACAGTAAATTGTATTTGTGCATTTAGTCCTGTACACAGATTATGTTGTCTCAGTCTTCTGCAGGCTTCTGAGGCGAAGAGAGATTGTGCTAAACCTTTTAATCTTGTGGTGCATTCCTGACACAGCATAGCTGTACTGAAACTGCCGCTAAAGCTGCATGTTTGCTTGCAAAAGGAAAATAGGTGACAGCTTGTACTTTCCTCACATAGCTAATTGCAGCCCACCTTGTCAGCATGGAGGGACCTGCCTGGCCAGGAATCTCTGCACCTGTCCTTATGGTTACGTTGGGCCAAGATGCGAAACCAGTAAGAATACTTCCAAGCTTGGTGTTGTACTTCCTTTTTACTCTGCATTCTCTTATTACACAGTTATAATTACAAGGGGCTCCAAATGGACCTAGAAGTGATATTCAGCATGACTTTATTATTATATCTTCTGAAAACAGGAATATGTTTAGGAATTTCATGTAGCCACAGTAACACATCAGACCCAATAAATGAATAAGCAACACCAATGTTTCATGTGTCACTTCACCCAAAGTCTAAGCCCAGTGGAAGTTGAAAGGCTTTTGCATTAAAAAAAAGCCATCAGTGCATAATAGCCCTTTTAATGAGTAATGTCTGAATTTGTTGTTTTTTTTTGCTCAGTGGTTTGCAACAGGCACTGTGACAATGGGGGAGAGTGTGTTGCCCCTGATGTTTGCAAGTGTAAACCAGGCTGGTACGGACCTTCATGTAGCTCAGGTGAGATTCCATGCTGCCCTACAGCACTGCAGTTCCGTAGGGCACAGATGCTCAACTCAGCAGTCACACCACCTGCTCAGTCTGTTTCTAAGCTTTGTTAGTGCTACAATTGTGGTCATTCTGAATTTAAGACATCACTGTCCATGTACTGTACAAGCACTGGAAAGTGCTGGAAAACCTCTTGAGTAAATTTAGTACATCAGTACCTTCGGTATCAGGAAACGCAATTACTTTCGTAGTTACTGTGAAGGATATATCTTTGTCTTGTGAACAATTCTGTAAAGAAAGCACATCTCAGAGCATCATTAAGTCTCTTTCGGTCAACTGTCTGCCATATTGTGTCTGTAAGGTCTGAGAATGATTCCTGCTCAGATTTGTTCTGTCACTGTTGTCTGCTGATGTCCATGTGGGCTCTTCTGTTGGTTTCCTCTGTTTCCTAGCTGTCTGCAATCCTGTTTGCCTAAATGGGGGACAGTGTGTGAAACCCGATGTGTGTGTCTGCCCTAGTGGATTCTATGGATCTCAGTGTCAGATTGGTAAGGATATCTTTTCATCGGTGCTTGTTTTTTTTTTTTTGGGTTGTTGTTGTATCAAACACATACATTGCCGTTATCTTTCGTGTAAAATGCAGCCGTCATTCTGAAACCACTCTTCTGCTTTCCAGCTGTGTGCAGCCCCCCCTGCAAGAACGGAGGGCACTGCATGCGGAATAACGTGTGCTCATGCCCAGAGGGGTACACTGGAAAGAGATGCCAAAAAAGTGAGAAGCTGCGTTCTGTTCTATCGAGTATATTTTAATAAGAAACGTAAAGTTTTGCAAGACAATTAAAGCTATCAGATTGAATTCTAGGACTGAAATTCAAACACATCTACAAGGACTAGAAAAATACAGGTGTACACTGTGTAGATAGATAGCTAATTAGGCAGGCCAAGAAGGCAAAGGTCAATCAGCCAAGACAGTGGACAACGTTTTATTTCGTCAGCAACAAATGTCGGATTTAAGAGAGTTTTGTTTTATATTTGCAGAGCTGATCCAGACACTGTGTGGCTAAAGAGAATAAAGATTAGTAATTTCTAAGATGAACTCTGCATTTACTGTTTCACATACTTGTTCTTGTTTTAGGTGTCTGTGAACCAATGTGCATGAACGGGGGAAAGTGTGTGGGTCCCAATATCTGTTCATGTTCATCTGGGTGGAGAGGGAAAAGGTGTAACACACGTAAGTCTTAAATTTAGAACCATTGCATGAGCCTTTGGTAACTGAGCTTTGCTTAACTACTGTATTCATGAAATAACATGCTGTAGTTTCCTCCATTTCAGTAATCACTCTGTCCTTAGAGGGCCACAGCATGCTGTAGTTTCAGTCACACTGAATTATAAGCAACCTTGGGCAGCCCTTCTTTATATGCCAGCTGGACATTTTGTCATCCTCCAAGATTGAATAATATGACACTCCAGATGAATGAATTGCGTGTTTTAGCAGTGAGATCACGTGTTGTGGAGACATGTACTTCAGTTTGGGGGGGGGTAGGGGAGAGTCTAACAAGGCAGTGTAATAAATAGTTCAGGTGGGTAGCTGCGTCAGCATGCGTAGGCTGCAAAGGAACAAGTAACAGGTTTATTCCATGCTGAAAAAAAAGAAGAAAGAGAACACAACGTTTCGGCCATGGAGCCTTGACACACCCGAAGAAGGCTCCACGGCCGAAACGTTGTGTTCTCTTTCTTCTCTTTTCAGCATGGAATAAACCTATTACTTGTTCCTTTGCAGTGTAATAAACAGGCGAGAGACGTCTCTTACTTCCTATCTTATTGGCCGTTTTAGTTCTGCTGTGGCTTGTGCTTGCTGTGTGTGCTGTAGAGGTCACGCACTGGGTTCAGACCCCTCACTAATGAGCTTGGTTTTGTGATTCCATGTGCACAGCGGTGTGCTTGCAGAGGTGTAGAAACGGCGGTGAATGTGTGGGACCCAACACATGCCACTGCCCAGCCGTCTGGGAAGGCCTGCAATGCCAAACTCGTAAGTATTGGGAACGGTGCTTTATAACCCAGCGGTCAGCGTGCTGGTCCGAGCGACATTCACTTATTTGGTGTAACCCTGTTCTACAGCTGTTTGCAAGCAGAAGTGTCTGTATGGAGGCCGATGTGTTCTTCCTGACCACTGCCTCTGCCGCCCAGGGTTCACTGGAGCTTCCTGCGAGAAAAAGGTTAGGCCTGCCTGCCCTTACCTATGTCCTGTCTTTCTTGATTTTCAAATGCACAATTTAAAAGCCCTTTTATCATTATTTTATTTTACTTAAAATCAATATATTCACAATTTTGTTTCCCCCTGAAGCTCAGTAGATAAGTAAAAATCAGACCTATACATTCATTAGCCTTTTATTGATTTTGATTGCAACAAACAACCAAGTTAAAGGCTTTGTTGGAAAAACTACTGTAACCACTGTGTTTTTTATTAAGATAAAATGGGGCATTTGTTGGCTTTACTGTCTTTAGTGCAATTTGTTATAAATAAAAAGTATAAAAATTTGAGAATCCTAGACAGAGCATATTTAAATAGATGATATACGGTATAGGTTTGTATTTACATCTGGCTAAAATATAGCATTTATTGATTTTTAGAACCTGTTTGGGAAAACAGTTAGAAAATTGAGTAAATGCATATTCAGTGTTCCTTATTAGAGTTACACTGGGAGAATCTATCAATGCATTTTCTGTAATGATCCCCATTGACCAATCTGGCATTTTTTGTGCATTTTCATGTTACAGGTGCAGACATCTCTGGGATGAATGGAATTTTGTCTTTAATGCAGAAGACACAAAGCAATGGGAAAAAAACGTATTACATTTAGGATGTTTATTTTAATTGAATGTTTTTAGTAAATAACACATTATCTAAAGGTTGTGATTATTTCTCTGTCCTTTCTGAGAATTTGTTATTCCTACCTCAGAGGGTAGATTCTCTGCCTTCTTCTTATGTGACTTATGTTCTGTTCAAAAGGTTACTGTCTGAGTGCCTCTATTCCATACCTGTTCATTTTTGATGATTATAGTCTGAGTGCAAATATCCATTAAATGGCTGTTCGTCACTGAAGATTACTGAATGTTACTATTCTTTAAGTGCTTGTTCGTTACTGTAGGCTATTGTCTGATGGTTAGTACTCCTTAAATTCTTGTTCCTTATTGATGAAAACTGACTGTGTCTGTCCATTAAATTCCTGTTTGTTAGTGAACATTACCAAGTGTGAATATACCTTTAAATGCCTGTTAGTTACTCTTAGCTACTGCCTCAGTCCTGTCTAATACTTAAAAGCCTATGCATTACCAACGATTACTGTCTAAATATTTAATTGGCTGTTCATTACCCAGGCATTTACTATCCATCGATTTCTCATTTGTTGTTTAAGTGTCCTGTTGGTAATTATTGTTGTTTTTACTGATTGGGGTTTACTGTGATCTGTTTATAAATATTTATTTTTGTTCAAATAATATATATTTTTAGTAAACTGTAAAAATATGTTTTCTCTCATAATAGGTATTGAACATGAATTTGCAGATGTTACCAAAAATAAAGTTGACAGCAGTTACGTTTTGTCAGGACTACCTAAAAATTAAATATGAATCTTTGTTCTGTTGTTGTTTTTTTTCTGTAATATCTTATTTTTTTAAAGAAAATCGTCTAAGTGAACTTTTGAACTTTTAAAAAGCTATGTATGTCCATGTACATATGATGGTTCCCTAGTCAAATCATCCCATTTGAGGTAGGATGGTAGGATTTGTGTTTTTCTGTGAACTACGGTTCCTTTTTAAAAGATACAGTACATATCCTGTTCTGAAAGCAAGTTTGTTTTCAAAGGTGATTTTATAAAGTATACACAAATCTGTTTCAAACGATTCACGCTTTAAATAAAACTGTTATAGTAAATTATATGTATTTTTTGCCTTTCACAATCTGCTGTTTCACAATGCAGCTGCTTGTGTTGTGCTTTAATTGCACAGAAATCTCACAGACACCAGTCATCGGCGACAGTCTTACGTCTCTACCCATTACTTCACTGAAGCATATTAAATTCTGGAGGACATGTAAAGAATGCTTATAGTAAACAAAAAACATACAGGGTTTTGAATAAAGGCATTATTTTGTATAACGGTTTTCTTAAGCAATAATTCCAATTGTCATTGAACCTTTAAAAAGAACAAGATCGGGAGTTTTCACGTAGGGTGTGGGAGAACACATTTCTTCGTGTGCTTTTTGTATAATCTCAGTCTACGAGTAGTTAACACAAGACGGGTAAAGCTAACTTTACAGCCTTTCACAGTAGAGCAGTTCTGGTATTATCAGGAAATAAATACACTGGAATCCCTTGAATTACAGTACGTTTTGTTTGTTTTGTGTAATTTACGAATCCAATTGGATCCATTGGTAAAGGGATTTATAGTACCATGGTAAATGTATATACAACACAGACAACAATAGCAAAAGGTTTCCAGGCAACACTGATTAATTAAAGAACCTGCATAACGACATTATCTGTTTCCTTCTGAAATAATGATAGAGCCAAACATTTATAAAACAAACACAACGTGAAAAAGCGATGTTTAGCTACTGTAGATCCTAGCTCTGCCTCTTCAAAATGAATAATTCGTGTCATTCAAGAAGGATTTGTCGCTGTGTTGTTCTTGGCCTGTGAAGACTTCTGGGGTACTCTTAAATTAAGAGGTCATAATTTGTTTTGGCTACGTTTTCCCCTCAAATAGTGTATATAATAATAATAGTGTTATACTGTATCTGTCTCTCGCAGTCTCAGGAGAGTGCAGGATGAAAAATATGTCCCAACATAAACGCAGAGACAAAGTGCTTCAATGACTTTTTTTTTATTTAAAACGACATTAAGAAATACCTTTCAGTTTACAGTGATTAACACCCGGGTTACTAAAAAGTTAAAGCGCCTTTATTTCTAGTTCGCAGTTTAAAAAAATAAACGGCTTGTCGAGTCTTGGCGCTTCACAGTTTCTTTCTGTCCGCGCACTGCGGCCCGTCGTGAGGCGCGCGGCACCTGCAGACGTTCGGCGCGACGCATTTCCCGCCGTGCTGACACGGACGCTTACAGATAGCTGCAAACCAAAAATAATAATAATAATAATAACAACAACAACAACAACAACAACAAAACAGAGTCAGATCACACTGTTACAAGATCGTTATCATTTTCCTCGGAAGCCCTGATGTACTGCTTTTTTTACGATCTAAGTCTTCTATGTTGTTTGAGCGAAATAATATTTTCCACTATTGAAGAAGAACACAAGCACTTCCTTTTACCACCTCTCGATAAAAGGTTTAATCCGGCTGTAATGAAAGAACCAACTTTTATGTCCGACCAAAGTTATGCTGGGCAAGATTATTGCAAACGTCAAACGGATTTGCAAGATAAGAGCGACGAGCTTCCTCACAGATCGACGCAAGGCGTCTCTGAGGAGTACTCTGCAATATGGCCCACTAATTGCTCTTTTATGGTATCATAATAGTCCGTCGGCCTGATTTTGTTATGGTGAACATAATCACATTTCCATCAATCACCTACAGATTTCTCTTTTGGTCAGAAATCAGTCTTAAATTAGGCTAAGAAACACGTACCCTGTCAGGGACTGAAAAAATAATAAAATTAATGCATAACATAAACGTGTAAAACAGAGAAATGTATCATTACTGAGAGGATTTGTGACAGAGACAGTGTACGCTCAGGTACTGTGACAAATGGAAACTAAGAACTCAACAAGCAGAAGCCATTATCAACTCTCAGAGGTCCCAAACTGGGAATAACTGACTGCTACATGTTTCTTTCCTTGTGACTGGTATTTCCTGTGTGTGTTCAGGGAGGGAGAAGTTCTCATTCCTTTCCACCGCTTGTTTTTGGGGAGGCCACTCGCAATCAATCAGCAGACATGTCGTTAACAATGTTGCCCGGCTACAAAACGACAGGTGTACCCTTCAATGAAAACAGCATGGATTACAGTTTTAGATTTCAAACGGGATGGGTTTTTTTGCTGTAAAAGCAAGTGTCCACGTGCTTTAAAGAGGTCAAAAGCCTAAAACGCAGAGACGCCCCGCCCCCCCCCAGCGGCCCGACTGTGAAGGCAGCCACAAAGGTCGATGCCCATACCTATGTGACACGCTCCTCCAAGCCAGCCCTCTGGACAGCTGCAGATGCCAGGAGCCACACAGCTCCCTCCGTTTCTACATCCCTGAGGACAGATTGCTGGGAACAAAGGAGATTCCAGCGGTTAAAGAGCCACACACTCTGCCGGTCAGTCACCCAGTCTTATCTGTCATAAAATAGCCATGCTTGGGTGATGGGATGAAAGGTTCCGAGATGAAGCCCGCTTTTATTGCCCCGGCCAGGGGCTCCAACACCTCGAAAGATCCCATTCCCAAGAGGAGGCGATTCAGCCGAGATCAATCTTACCTTCTTGGCATTTCGAGCCGGTCCAGCTCGAGGGACAGAGGCACTTGGCAATCCCATTGACGGCGATGCATTCGCCTCCGTTCCAGCAGCCCCCCTCGCATGTCACTGGAAAAAAAAACACAGCCCGTGAGCTGCAGAGGCAGGCGAGAGAGGCAAAGTAAAAACAAGAGATCCCCGCTGTAAAAACAAACATTTTTTAAATTCTTGTAAAAGATAAATTAAATCTTAGGAAGTTTGCATCATGAGTAGGCGTTCTTCACATGTGTGGGAATGATGGAACACATGAATGTTATCCGATGGATGTTCAAAGTCTAGGAAGGAAATGTGTGTTACCTTTATGACAATATTTGCCTCCATAGCCTGGTGGACACCTGCATTTTCCTGGTCGAAGACATTCTCCTCCGTTCTTACACTTAGGGTAGCAATTAGCTGTCACACAAACACACCAAGAATATACTTTTCTTCAGCCTTTTTAATATTAAAGTTTAAAAAACTATAACAAACAGTGAAAAGTGAAAATGTAAGGAAGACAATCGTGGTAAATAAATCATCTGTCTATAAGGATCTTATAGGTCACGTTTCTTTGTGTATTCTTTACACTCGGCAAATAAATAGCATTTAATAGGTGACAGCCCAAAATGGTGCAAAATACCGGAGCAATTGAAAGTTTGCATCTTACTTCCAAAGGCAAAACAAGTAAAAGGTTGAGCAAAACACATGCATTACAAATGACACCATTCTTTTACCGTTTACATTCTTTTGGAACCTTTTTACAATCTCAATCTGACATGCACCCTAAAAACCAACAAAACATTTTTGGAATGCACGATGTCTGCATTTCTGAAAACAACGAACACACAGAAAGATGCACAGAGTCACATCGTCGACTCATTCTGGGAATAAAGAAATGCTCAATCACCATACTGGCACTGCTCCCCTTCGTAGCCCTTGGAGCAGAAGCAGGTGTTGTTCCGTATGCAGATGCCCGCGTGCTGGCACAAGGGGTCACAGGAGGCCTTCAGATCGAACACAAAGGGGATCGCCACTCCCCTCGAAGCCTCGGACCTGCCGTCGCAAACACCCAGGCACAGGCAAAGAGCAGCCACAAGGAGCAGCGTCCCGGCCCCCGTCTGAGAGCTCCGACACAGAGCCATCTTCTCCACAGCGCAGGCGAGGGGCTGGCCACCAAGTGTAGCGAGCAGCTGCTGCTGCCCCTGGAAAAACCTCTGCAGCCGTTTCAGACAGGCTTCCCCCGACGGCTCCAATTGGTTACAAGCTGAACTGCTCCAGGTTTAGCCCCTTGAAACCTCAGCAGGAAAGGAGTGAGCTCAAATGAATAATGCACGGTCAGAGACCTGTAGCACGTCATGCAGCTTTTCAAAACACAAATTCACGTGTGTGTGTGTGTGTGTGCGCGGCACCCACCTTAAAACACATTTGTGACAATTACTGAAATCTAAAATATTTCGACGTTTTGTGTTTTAAAGACTATGTTGTCGTTTTTAATAAAGATGGGAGTTCTTTGTCTGCTTTGGCAAGAGTTTCATCGTAATGGGTGCCATCAGCTGCACCTGGCAGCAGCAAGAGTCTGCGAGTTGGATTTAGCAAGGAGAAAATCATTTTGGACTGGTGAGTGTCAATGGGATGGCAAATCACGCTACTTTCAGGTTTCTTCAATAATTTACAGCTGTAATCACAGATATACATCCACGTCTGTTTGCTGTAAAATAAGGTTCTTCCCCATTATAAAACCATGTATGTTTACAGCCCCTTAGCTGGTGCTTCATATCACAATATACATGTATAGTATGTGTGCACACAAGCAATGCTGTTTTGTTCTTCCCAACAGTAAACTTTCAAATGAATGGTGTGTGGCTTGTGTAAAACTTTTTTCTTTACTTCCGTGATTATGCTGAAAATCGGGGAATGTCAATCATGTACAGAACTACCTACATTTTAAAAATGCAACACAAAGCAGAATAATGGAAAAGGGTAGGATATGTCATGGTCAAAATGCCATTAATTTATCAGGTTTATAATTAAATAAAGGTTTATATTTAAATTTCACTTGAAAGCAATCAAGAATAGATTCAGATTTCTATTTTAAATGCTATATTACCCTGCAACATAGTCTAATACTTTATGAATACCAGACACTGTGCTAACATCTGTTTCTAATCAATACCAAAGGTAGCTCATCGGAATACTTAATTAAATGCATTAATCTGTGCTAGTTTTCCAGATCACATTTATCAAATTAATTTGAAATACAGTCTCCTGATTTGTTTCTGTATCAGAATGAAAGGTGCGTGTATTGACAAAGATTTTTTTTACTATGAATTTAGGAGAGTCTCTACAACAGTAAATTGTATTTAAACACTAAACTGAACAACTGTAGCAACAAAATTTGACATTTTTTGTCAATGTTATCAAGAAACAAATCTGGAAACTGTAAGATGCACAAGACAACTTTCTGAACTGGCCTGACAGGTCATATACTGTAACTGTGATGTTATAAAGACAATCATATTTGTGCAAAATAGACAAAAAATGTTTGTAATACCATATTTTATTTGCAGGAAACACACTTTCATACTTTTGAATGTGTCCTATATTTCTGAAGGCAAATAAACTTACAAATTCAAATACAGTTACAAGTACAGAGAAAGAAAGAGAAAATGTATGTTTAGGCATTACAACACAAGTTCTAAAACTTATAGTGGCCTTTCATAATGTTTAAAATCATTAGCAATTTACGGTGGCTTTTCATGGGGTGGATGATGAAAGAGCCATGTGGAAAATCTCTTGACAACAATAGAGTTCATCATTCTATTATTCGACAGCTTTTTGAAATCATTTTCCAATTTCTAATGGCACAGCATGTGCATATAAATTTGAAATGCAAACGAAGGCATACATCAGGGTATTGTGACCTCAGAGTAGCTCTGGGTTCTCTCTGGGTAAACGGCTGAGCAGTATGTTAATGTCATCATAGGGGAAATGTTGATTTGAACTCTAGCTCATATTTTACTTTTTTGGCCAGATGTTGCAACAGAACAGTACCAGATGTGTTTTAGGTTAACAGCTACACCCGGAAATTAAAACTACATATCTCAGCACAAACATGATACCCATAATTCCAATTAAAGGCTTCTACAGAAGTCAATATACATTGGTCCTATCTTGACCATGCAGATTACAATTACAGAGAAACTACTAATGATTTTCAAATAAATACAATTATAACATTGTGTTCTTTTAGTTCTATATAGCAATACAAAAATGTTTTTATGTTTTTTTTAGATTTATGTACAAATCAAGGTGTGGATGAATAGAGCGACCCACACCCATTTTTTTTAAATACCCTGAACCATAAAAGCTAACCTATTCAAAAGAATGCAAATAGTTTTTAAAACATTGTTTTAAATTTCACTCTTCTGTTACATTGTCAAATACCTGAAGACTTGTAGCACTTTATTTGCTGGAACCCAGGCTGGATTATGGAAATCTACCCCCATCTGTGAGGCTAAAAGACACCAGGATAACAGCAGAAGAGTATATAGAGACCTGATTGAAATATTCAAGATGCTTAAAAGATTAAAGTCAACCTAATGGACATCAGGATGAACAGTGAAACCAGGCAAGAAGTTGCATGGAGGAGCATTTAAAACAGACCAGGAGGTTCTTGCATACACAGGGGTTTGGGGTTTTTTGTGGGAGTGTGGAACAAGCTACACCACCATGTTATCAAAGTCAATACCCTAGCTTCTGTCAACCGAAGTCAGAATAAGAACCTTGGATCAATGAACACAGATTACCTAATGGCCTTCTTTTGTTTGCCAACATTGTATGAAATATGTTAACATATTTCAAAATCTTCAGAAAGTTACTGCTATCAATTCCAATACTAAATATGCCCTGATTTCCTTCATCTTAAATCTTGAGGCACATACATTTGTTTCGGCCGTGGAGCCTTCTTCAATATGCCTATTACTTGTTCCTTTGCAGCCTACGCATGCTGACGCAGCTCCCCACCTGAACTATATTTGTCACTATCTCTTTTGGACCAGGATTATTTTTTTAATAAACCTCCTTTCTGTACCACAGTTATCTGCAGTGAGGTAGTCTCTCCCCCGCTAAGTTCAATACTCCCAATGCCTTTCATCACAATAATTCTCTACGATTTCTGTGGGGGTGGCCGCCTGGCTGTTTTCTTGACAGCTACTCTCCAATGCATCCTCTGTTTGGCTTCAGGGTCATATAGGGCCACTCATACTTTCCTGACCGTCACTCATTTCACATCTCTAGAAACACTTAGATGACTCAAATGCTGCCTTTCATAAATCTCATTTTTACTGCAATATAAAGCTCTCTGTGCAAGATCCCCCACGTATTAGTCTTCTTTTCTCGGATGTTTTTCATCCCCAGCTCAGGCCAACTGCTGCCAAGAACACAGAGCTAGTTGCTGGGTGAACTGTGTGAATCTAATCCTGCTACAGTTAAAACCCATAACGAGGCTCTGCATTTCAATGATTTGTGAGCACTGAGGGGCTTGTACTTTGTTTTCAAGTTGAGACTCGTGTGCAGAAAATAAACTGTGCAAACAGGATTTTTTCCCTGCTTGAGGGTTTTACTTCCTTGAGATCTGCAAACGGTTTCAAACAAAACATGAAACTCTGCACTGGGCTGAAATGACTTAACCAATATAATCACTATCGAGTCTGGTTTCCAGATCAGTAAATAAAACTTCCCATTCAGAATCTCAACAGTAATTTCAAAAGAACTGCACAAGCTGTTCAATAGCAGAAACAGATGCTACATGCCATTACTCTCAAGGGGCTCCTGCAGGAAGGTAAGAAGGATTGGATACACTGTACAGACAAAAAAAAGCAAAAATCACAATGCATACAGTATATACTTACCAGATTTTATACTTCGACATAAAATTGTATTGTATAATTAATACTTTGGACGAAGCAGTTAGAACATTGGTGAATGGATAAAAAATAACATGCTGTTTGCATATAAATATTAAAAAATAAATAAAAAAATAAATAAAAATGCATATAAAATAACATATGCGGTTTCATTTTCAGCGATTGTGTTGAGAACTCACAAAGGGATTTTAAGCGTTCCAACGTGACATGTCTGCACTGAGGAGAATATTTCGATATTTAAAAGGCCACGGGTAACTCTGTCTTCAAAGGTGGCATCCATCAACCACCATGCCCAACGGGAATTCAAGCCAGTCATGACAGCGGGAATCAAAAATGTTAGGGGAGCCGGGAGTTGCTTCCGGAGCGAGTTTAAAAGTTTCTGATGCGAAAACTCAAGATCCCTCGGCCTTTGTCTGGGGGAACTGGAAGGGTGCTCAGAAGGAAGAAAGGCTACACTGACCTTCGACAAAACATTCTCCTGCAAAGCTGGAAGCAGCCAGTGTGATGCTGGGAACACCACAGGGGCTTGTGCTAGCTTCCACGCAGCACCCTCTTGACCATTGCACTGCGCACACCTGCACGATCTGATTATTATTGATGGAGATGAAAACCCCACATCGACCCACGACACTTTCAAAAGGCGGCCTCCGTAGAGGAGGTTTCTTCACTGCATGAAGACATGCTCAAACCCTATGATTACAGAGGAGGATTTATTGAACATTAAAACACTAAAATTCCCAATATTTGAAGGTGATCTACTAGTTTATTTCTTTCGAGTATGTCCAGAGGAGTACAATATCTGAAGAATTGTGAACAATTAACATAAAATGCTGGGAAGAACATTAATCTCTGTACAGACAGGAACAGGAGGAATTCACATCACAGAAGATCCATTAAGAAAGATGACCGTTCTGAGGAAAATGCATTTCCTGTCTGCTCAGCTGTCCTCTACATTTCTATTTCAGAAAGGAAACTATTCCTCCAGCTGACAAGCGACAAGCTGTTTTTTTTCCTCTGCCCCTGTGGTTGACTATGCTAGAAGAGAACTAAATAAGAATCGTTCTCAATTTTTCATCCACGTAATATTTTCAGAAAAGATCAATTTTGATTTTCACATTGAAATTAAAGGTAAATGTGTAATGAGAATTTGTGAGAAGCAGTTGTTTTTCAATTTTCTAGAACTCAAAACACGACAGTCGCCTCAAGTCCACGATGCAGTACATTATTTTGACTTTTTCAATAATAATAAACATCACCATGAAAGTATTTATAGCCTTTGATGAAAGTACATGTTGGGACCTTAGCACATAAAATGTTTATCAACTGTGATCATTTAAATTTTTTCTATAGTACAAAATTAAAGCTTAATCACTATCAACAGTCTTTCGTACTCAAACAAGGATTTTCTGAATTAAAAATTGTATTAGTTAAAATAAAGTAAGGGGAAAAACTACCCCATGTTGTTCAATATACAATATGTACAATATATTTTTCGGGATTGGTTAATAACGAATGTATAAATAATACAATTAATTATTAATAATCTAGTTCTATCTTGAACTAATTATATTGACTTACCATAGGTGAAGGGTGTGAATACTGCATTCTACAATACTGGGCAACATTTGTGGAAGGCACAGTATTGTGGCCACATTCACCAGGTGATCCTGTTTCTTTCTTAAGGTTTTATACATGAATTACTGTCTCAAAATTGGGTGGTACAGTGATGCAGTAGGACTGTGAGTTCAATGTTCTCCCCAAAATCGTGTGGTTTTCCTCTGGGTGCTGCAGTTTCCCACCACAATCCAAAGACATACTGGTAGGTTAATTGGTTTCTGGGAAAACTGGCCCTGGTGTGAGTGTTTCTGCCTGTGTGTGCCCCAGGGACTGCTGTCCCATCCGGAGTGTATCCTGCCTTCGACCCATTGCATAGAAAATGGGTAGTGTCTCTAAAATGCATGAAGGTCCACTGACTGCTGGAATTTTTATGGAGATTTTCAAATTTGTTGGATGGGACATTTGCATGCCTGATGTCATTTGAGCATTTGTATTCAGAATCCCATTAATAATTGCTTCAGAAGAGTCTATTCTCACATGACGCCTTATCTTCTTAATCCAGGACTTTTATTTGACTATTCAATTAAAAGCATATGAAATAGGCCAGAACAGCCTTTCATAAAGATACCTTTTCAAAATTAGACCTGTACTTTGCAATAAGAAATATAGCATTGTACCATACTAAGTGAGCATTTCCGAATGCTTATATTTCAAATGAAGAGTTTGCTCATGTATATTAAGGTAAATATACATCAACAGGGCCATGAGAACATAAATATGAATCTTGGACGTATCTCCATTTCCTACTTGAATATGCTACTTTTCCAAATGATGATCAATATATTTCAACAGTTACAGCTATGGTACATGTATGTCCCTAGCTATATGCCTAGTGATTATTTAAAAGTATGCATTTGTTCTTACTCAAGCAAACTCAAATTACCAACAGCTGGTTTAGATGATCAACCTTTAACCATTTCTAAAATGCTACTTTACAAAAACCTCTGCTCTGAAACCATACAATCAATTTATATTTCAACATTTCCTAACAATTATTTAAAATTAGCGGTAAATCGAAAATGGTGCTTGTTTTAAAACGGCTGTCTGTGAAATATGTACCAATTAGCAAATGTATTTGCAGCACCTTTCCAAAAACAGAGAACATATGGGACTGTTTCCATGATTGTAAGCAGATGGTGCCACTTCAAGCGCTAGACTGTAGATAACCTTCATGCCACTTAATTACCAGTGATTTCATATTTTAAATTCTCTGTGGTTAAACACAAAAGCTCAGGTGGAAGCTTATATTACTCAATTTAACACACTTTCCTAGCAATTTAATACACTTTTCTAGCAAACACCTAACAAAATCAAGATATTAAAGTTTACTTTAATTACATACAGTTAAATAAAATGGGAGAAATCTGGAAAGGGTAAATACTTTTACAAACCACTGTAGATCACTGCAGGTATTTTTTTTTTACCTTCCTTTGACATAAATGTGTTAAAAAGTTATGCTAAAAGAAGCTAAGTGCATTCATTTTTTGCCATTCATGTTGAAAATTATAACTATGGCTTTCTATGAAAAAATTTCTGCAACCTTTACTACTGCCCTGTAGAGAAAATACAAAGATGTTAAAGAATGTCTGCACTGGATATCCTTCCTAAGGCATTGGCAAATTGGTAAAAGAAAATAACACTGAAAGTGCGCACAACACTAACACATAAGTCAAGTGTTAAAAAAGAAAAATGAACTAGTATGGTTCATTTTTCACATAAATCAAATGATTAAATCAAATCATTACAATCTCTTACACTGTATTCTACCAAATGTAGACGTGCAGAAAATACATAGTGCAGTGATCAGTCTAATGGAACAGATGGACTAATCGGCCAAAAAAAAAAAGCAAAGGGAAAATTAAGTCAGATGCCACCTTGTGTTTATACCACCTATTACACAGGCGCTCTGATTGAGTGCAGCTGCCAAGAGAACAGTCCATGTGAACGATCAACAACCCTGAATAAATCGAAGGGATTAGAGGTTTGGTGTACACATCTGCACCCAAATTTATAAATAACCCATGTGCAATGTAACTTAAAATTTGGTGCTAAAATAATTCTAAAAGTTTATATCTGAAATATGCTGGTGATAAATTAGAGAACAATGATTAAACTTTAACAAAGCAGTAAAAACAAATACTGTATATAAAATATCTCCATCAAAGTTAAAGAAACTAACAAGAGTGACAAAAAAAGATTGTATTCATTATTTATTATTTTTTCATGCTGGGAAGAAACAATGAATCCACTAGGTTAATTTACAAGTTACAGTCTTGACTCGGGTTACATTTACAGCCTGGCAATTTTAGTAGAAAATAGACAAAAATAGTATTTTCCCCACAGGAGGTTTGCTCATGAACAATGAAAAATCTATTTAGATTCCTTTAGGCAGATTTATTTCTAAAACAAATGTAATATTGAAAGGTGTAGTTATCCCAACCACTACTGATTAGCTGTTTTAACTTTGATATAATGTCACATTTGATTGTAATTGTATTGGCTCTTTATTTAAGGAGCTGTATTCTGATTATAACTCTAGATTTCATACTTTTAATATTTTGGCACATTTATAACATATCAGTGACTAAAGGGTTCATAAGTCACAGATCAAATGCTTAACTTTCCAACATTCAAATCACTTATGCAAAATTGCTTGAAAATGTTAGAACCCCAGTATGATTGGGGAACTGAAACCATAGACACATCACATATGGCTTGAGTGAGTTCAGGGCATTAGTGCTTTCATTGTGAAATACTAAAGTGAACCAATCAGAAAAGAAAATCTATAGCACATCTTTGCTCTCCCCTCCCATCATTTCAAAATATACTAAAAGGAAAACAAGAGAACTCTGGATTCTGCATAAACTGCTGGAATGGTTCTGAAATGAATACCATTTTCAGTACTTATTGAAGCTAAATCATTTACACTAAATAAATCTGTCAATAAAAACAAACTGAAATACAAAATTGCTGTATTAACAGCGCAAAAAGAAAATACTGATAACCTGGTCTTAACATTTACCTGGTAAATTACAGAATTACCTTTTCATAATTGGAGAATTTAGTTTAACTCGAGGGGCCTATTTATTCCATCTATGTGAAGTGATGAAATGAAAAGTTTAACAATGACACCGAAATACAGTACCAATACAGATGTATATACAGATGTATAGTTGCAAGGATGGGGCAGCTCTATTAATAGGTTAGTATACAGAAATGAAGATGCGAGCAGTGAACAGTTTCAGATTGGACCGTTTTTTGGTGTACACAAGAAGCACATTAAAGGAACACTCTAAGGGCTTGTTACAAAATCTTGTCTGCTTGAACGTGACAGTCAAGGAATGGAAACGCAGAGTACATTCTGTAAAAGGGGAGGTAAACTAGACGCATCCCACTTACGATGCAGGACATTCACTGGGATGCTGTAAACCCATCTGAAAGTTTGATTTAGTAACATTTCCTTACAGCCCAAGCTGATAATATCCTGCATCCTTGCTGCCATCCGCATTTATCAATATCTGGCTATGCACTAATGCCATCTCCAGGGGTAGGTAACAACTGTATTTTTTGGTAGCAGCTAAACCGGTGAAAACACACTAGACTAAAAACCTCCAGCTTATTTTCATGTTCTTGTAAACTTTATTAAAACACACTAACAAGTCCTGACAAGTGGTATATAAAGAATACATAAAAAGCAGAATTTAACTTCTGGGAAATACAAACTATAATGCACAGCTCACCTATATTTATTCACCATATACTACTAAAGCTGGTATGCATGTAAGTTATTTCAAAGCTCCCTTTAAACAGCAAATTGTTAATTACACATTTCTAATTACATTTTGAGTATTTCTTAAAAAAAGACAAAAAAACACCTCAGATGGTGAGCACATTACACCACCCATAGCTCTTGCGCACACTATGAAAATGCCTTTAAATTGGAGTGTGTTAGATGTACGTATGTCGGATGATAAATTAATGCATATTATTTTAAGATGAGGAAAAAACAACCTCTTTAAACTCTACAGCAGCACATGCACAGTCAGGCTGCTCTATCAGGACTTGTACCTTTTATGTGATTGGACCACAGCTCAAACAAATGTGACCCCTTAAAAGCCTATGGACCGATGCTTCAGGGTAAACTTAGGGATTCATGTTTGAATGGAACAACATATATAAGTTATAAAAGATGTGGACACAATGAGGAACAAACTCAACTTCGTTCCAAAGATGCTTTCCATGTTTATTTTAGTACTGGATAATTCATGTCCTTTTGTCATTCACAATGCAGATCGAATATGGTCAACGTGAAGGGGACATTAATTCTTCCAGAGCAAAAATGCACCAATATTACCTAAGCCTGCTCGGTCACATTACAGGAGTCCTGAGTGCACAAGGAGAGAAAATCCTTGCATTGACACAGGCTGAACTAGGTCATTCCCAGCAAGGTACAAATCCAAAGAAAGCATCCAGTAGTCTCAGTCACCCACACCTCCTCACACCAGCCCACTAAAGTGAGCTTAAATACAAGAGGAAACAATTAATGCAAAACCACAACAGGCTTATGATTCCCTATTTAAAAATTAATTTGGGTGATGTGACAATGTCCCTGTATTCAGAACATGACAGCAGACAGCTGAGGAAACAACCGAAATAAAATATTCTGTACAAAAGTAGTTTAAAAGTGGTCAGTTAACAAGAGTGGTCTGAGTAACAAGGAATCCCTATTTTTCTGTGTCCTTAATTATTTGTCTGCTATACATTAAGCATATATTTCCTGCATATAAAATATGCTGGTCAATTATTACTTTGATAAAGTGCTTTGCTTTCTTTCTTGTAAACAGCTTACAAGAGTTATTGATATAACCTTATCCTAAAGAAAGTAGTATTTAAAAAAAAATATTTCATTACCCCCTTCCATGGTAATTTCGATAGTGTCACTGCACAGTGGCATCTTAGAAGACCATCTAAAACACAGAACTGTAAAACATTAAAACAAATGTTTTAAATATTTTTTTCTGTAAAACTAAGCAAAGAACACAGTGAGGCCGACTAAACTATCTTCAAGTACAACCAATCAGGAACAGCTCTGCGGGACCTTGCAGAAATCTCCTTTATTATCCCAATCCGTTCAAAGGAACCTCTGGGACAACGTTCTACTCCGGGGGGGTGAGAACGTTTGAAACCTTGGAGCCGTGCAGGTAAGTGGTGTTCCCTCCACAATCCACATACTGGTATCTCTCCTGAGACACCTGCTCGGCGTGCCCAAAGTAAGTTGTTGTGACTGTCACTCTGTAGGAAAGGGAAACCCGATTACTGTGCGCTGATAACCATCAAAAGAAAAAATGTATGAAGTCAGCACATGTTTATAATGCCATGAAATATTTAATAATTGCCCCCTTTAAAAAGTTAGACTGAGCTCAGATTTAACTAGAAGTACTGTGAGAAATACACCAAAAATGACACTGTACATTAATGAGAAAAGAATATACTGTAACACTGAAAGCAAAACAATATAATCTAACATTCAAAACCTTACATTAAACATAAATGAAATGCTGAACTACTGACAACTGTGATTGACCAATTTTAGCGTAAACAAATAAACTGTGATATTATCTTTCATGATTACTTCTAGTAATAGCTATATATAAATGTTTTGGTAATAACAGAGAAGAAACCTGAAAACCAAGACATTTCTTCAAGAAAGAAATCTTAATGTGGCCTGACCTAAGGATCACCCGTCATATAACATACTTTAATGACATGCTCAGAAGACAAAAGAAGAAAAGCATACTGATACGCAACACATTTCACTCTACACAAAATAACTAAACAGGTCATCTAAACTTCTGTTCTAATGTTAAAGTGTTTTACAGTAATACACATACACAATGTTATGGATTTCTACTTGAGTTCAAACCCTCACTGATCTACTGCATGAACCAGAATATTGCCTGTCACATTGATTTATTGTTATTACCTTTTTTCATTAGAATATGCAGTATTGTAAGCAGAAATAGGAAAAAAGATACTTACTGCATCATTACAACAATATTGTGGACCTTTATAGCCTCCAATGTGCAATAATTACTGAAAAAGATAAAAGAACAACATTAATATAACTCTTGAGCATACTACCAACTGAATACAGATTTCAGAAACAGCTTTGGTAAAAAAAATAAAGCACCTGAACTTCAAAATTAAGAAAAAAAATGTTTTACTTACTACATGTAACTCATCTCTTCTGATATTTCTGTAGGAACCATGTAGTCAATCTAAGAATGAAAAAAAAGAAATAAACCCTCTATTATGTAATGCACCAATATATCGGTTTTCTCACATAAGCAAGGTAACTGTAAATGTAACTGGATTGAGTTAGTAATTTTAAGTGCAGAACAGGAGGCCACAATATGCAAGTACTTTGATCATTTAAGAAGCCTGAATAAACACAGTGTGAATACTCTATTTCCAGTGTATACTATCTGCAGGACAGAATATGTCACACCCAAGACTGACTGTGTTCTGTACACACGTACAAGAACTGATATTGGCAAAAGGCGTGCACCTTTACAGAAATAAGAACCGAAGAAAGGTTACAAATGAGAGGAGGAAAAATCTAACCCACCTGGGAGTCAGTAGCCAACTGATTCATGGATTAATCCAGGCATTGAGATCTTAAATACAAGATTAACTTCAGAGAAACCAGGGTACCAGGTTCAACAACATGGCTGGGTAGCTTGTTCCATGCTCCCACAACTCTTAAATAAGACGCTACAAGGAGCCATGTACCAGAGACGAACACTGCAGATTACTTTTTTACCCCACTGAAAAACACTTGGGTATGCAAGATGGACAATCCATTCCTGTTGAATATACATAATTTATGTTTGACAAACTGACCTCATGCTCTCAGAAACTACAGAAACATTTCCATTTAGTTACAAGCACACTACTAACAAGGTGCTCAAAAGATGAATACTTCTAGCTATGAGCAATTCTCTATTTTCATTCTCAGGTTATGAATAAAATAGAAAAGATATCTGCGTTGAAACAGAACCTCTTACAAAGTGAAAACGTGTCACCTGCTTCATGTCGAGAGGTCCAATAGAAGTGATATTGCTCATCCTAGACTTTCCTATCACAGTTTTGGAGAACTGAACTTGTGCACTGATGTTTGCCACATCCACAGAATAATAGTTGTTATTGGTAATATTCAGAGTGTTCTGTAAGAAGAAGAAGAAGACTGTGGTTAGGCCCAATCATTTAATGCCACACTCGTACAACACACCTCGAAAAACCCTTTCGTGCTGCACAACTGCTGATGCCGATCTTCTCTCAAAAATGACTGCATAAATAATTAATAATTAACTCTAAAAAATATGATTGCTGTACTTTAATAGCATCTACAGGGAAGTGCTCAGTAAGCATTAAGATACATTCATACGAAAATATCAAAATGTAATTTAACAATGACGGAAAGCAAGTCAGCACATTTTCTTAAATGATTTGATAAAAAGTCAGTGATCTAAGAGCCCATCAAATACTACACCTAATAACTTTAGAGTCCACTTAACAGGTCAGGTCCTGCTTAAACAATTTACATTTTGGGCACTTTCCCAGAGAATAAATACAAAAGCAGGTGAAAAGAAATTGAAATGATTCTTAAATAAACTTACCGTAATATTGAGATACACGATACAGTTTGTTTTGTCGTAAGTGACGAAGACCGATTTCACACCTACATAGGACACATCAATGGAACGTGGAAACAGGAAGAACACAGCCAGCCCAGAAAGCAGCAGGCAAACTACTACGGAAGCTGTAACGTACAGCTTTCTAAAAATAAGAGAAAAGCACAATGTTCTGTCAATAAGCTCACTAATCAATAAGAGCTCTCAATAGTACTGGTTACCAGATGCAGAAAGACATCCTGCAAGCCTCAGCAATAACCAGCAGTGAAGAAATATTGATTACATTTAATATATACTGCGTAAAGAGAAAAACTAGTTTAGAATATTCATTAAAGAATTCCCTGTGCAGAAACTCATACTTATTAGGTATAGCAGAAATCATACTTATTTCCAGATTAAATCAGACAGTTTAGTGCTGATCAGAAAGTGTTACACCTAAGACACAGGTTACGAAGTCACTGAATGTCCCCCTTTCCAGTGGAATAGCAAGGTTGTTCAAGTTACAAAAACCAGGCAACAGTATCAGAGGACCGGAAATCTGGTCTTGATTGTCACTGGGTCAATGAGAATGTTTACCTGAAAAGCACATTATCAAAGTCCTTAAAGGCAGGGTAATTTTGTTAAGCACTGATAGAGAAATAAGATGAACCACTTACGTCCTTCTGGGTCTCAGTCTTTGGTCACTGTATGGAATCAATGCGACCAGCTGATTCTCCTGGCCTGAGAGACAATGCATTTGAAACAATTATGTTTACCTATGTTACAACATGCAAAGATTAAAATCTTTAACTTAAACAATTCTACAGCCTAATATATTTATCTGATTTAGAGTCATTTACACTGCCTTTTACCTATTCACTATTTATCCACCCATCTGCTAACTGCTTGATCTAACTCAGGGAGCCGGTGGGGCTGAAGTCTATCCTGTCAAGCAAGACGTGCTACAGCCTGGACAGGACATGAGTCCATCGCAGGGCACACACCCACACTTGGGCCAATTGACCCACCGGTATGTCTGTATGGACTGTGGGAGGCACCCGGTCACATGCTTAAAACTGAGATATTGGTACAAGTGGGCTGTGATGCAAGAGTTTCACAACACAGCATGGCTCAAAGTTCTGCTCAGTGCCCAAAGCAAAAGTGAAGAATTTATTTTAATTCCTCGATCTTCAGAGAAGAGCGTCTGTGTCTATTACACTTAAAACACTTTTTAAATGGAACTCTAGAGTGAGATCAATAACACAGGAACTGCTCAGGCACACTAATAATCTATGTGACTTCTCAGGCATGTGAATCATCACCAATCTAGCTATTGCATAAACCCACAGTTTTAACACTAAAATCATACCCGCTTAATCATTTCTAACACGGCAAACATTCACAAAAGAAAAAAAAACACATACTATGAAATGGCCTTCTCATGTACAGTAGAAAATTGTAACTCTCTGGATACTCTGTAGGGTTTTTATTTTGTCCTTGAAAAATTGAGAATTTCTAGTAATGAAATGGAATCCTGTTTTTGCTACAGAAAACAAGAAAACAAATACCTCTCGGGATTCTCCCCGTGCCCTGACACGTGGGGCACGTGACACTGTCCCTTCCCGTGAATTCCACGTACGGAAACTGAGACACATCCCCGTTTTTTCCCTCTTCGCCCTGCGATTCCGAATGAATCAGCCCTTTCTTGTCTGTAGCTTCGGGTGTAGACGCAAGGCTATCACTGCAGTCATCTTTATTCAAGTGCGAGAATGACTTCCCCATGGTTCCAGCTCTGAAAGAAGCGAAATACAGATTTTAAAACTACAGCCATTCACGGTGTGCAATCACAGGCTGAATCAGCTACGGACAAAGCAGGTGACATTTGTAAAAGAATTCCATGCACCGATGATTCATAAGTGAATTTCTAAGCTTGCCAGATAAAAAAAAAAAGTTTTAAATTCTTACACTTATATAAAGCTTTGCACCCCAAGTATTGCAAAGCTCTTGACACGTAGGAGAAGACCCCCTTAATCCACCCACCTGGGTGACAAACAGCAGCCATCTTGTGCTCTTATGTGTTCTCCACCAGCACCCCCTCCAGTAAACAGAAGATCGTGTGGATAAGCCAGATTTACCATTTGAAATAAGGGGCAGCCTTCTTTCGGTAGGCCTGCTTGTTCAAGCCCAGAGTGTAATTTTGCCAGGACACCCTTACTCTTTCAAACAGTGCCCCAGGATCTTTAATGACCAAGAACTCAGCGTGTGTCTGGGCGTGACGTGGGAGTACTGTTGGGGGTAAATTCTCGTCCAGAGAGAAGAGAACCAGTCCCCAAGGCGAGATCAGGTTAGAAGGTGCAAGTCAGAAGGCAGAAGTGTTGGGAGATTTCTTTTCTGCCACTAATCACCTTGGAAGTTTATGGACTAGTTATGTTTCAAGCAGCCATCCTGCCTGTGACTCAAAACTAGACCTGGGTCAGTAATGGTTAAAGTATAAACACCATGAAACACAGATCTGGGAAAATTTAGATATCAGAAAAACACATCCAGGATCTTCCTTTTCACATGTCATTGCTGGAAGACGATAAAGATGCTGAAACATTTGCATTCACTTCCCCATTATGTTGTGCAATGTGAATACTACGGGCGATTTAAGAACGGGTGTCGGTCCGTTTTTCAAGCCTGCACAACGCAGAGTAAATCCTTTCACGGCAGGAATCCCAGAAGGTGGTGTGAAAGTCGATGGTTACAATTACAGACTAACATTTTTGTAAACCTTCCATATACTCTAGCACAGGCAAGCCTGCAACAGTCCGCACCGCAAGAGAAAGGCTCCCAAACACAGGGCAACAACAGGAATTACTCACATATCATTATCTTGAAGATGAAAGAGATATTATACTGCAGCCCTAAGCACGACTTTAAAACCGCGATCCCGGTGGAAAAGGATGAAGAATTAACCGCCTGTGTGGCCGAGCACGGATGCTATCTTGCAACACAGTCACGATTCGGATAGACCGTGGAGGTAAAAAAAAAACAACATCACACAGCCGTCACATCCCCGGGCTTGAACCTGCAGCTCGCCCTTGCAGGGACACGGGTCTGCTGCGTTTTGAGAAGTATTTCACGATATTTACGTGTGCAAACAGAAGCGAGGGCTGCCGAAGCCCCTATTCGAGAAACGCAGGTTAGCGGAGCGAGAGTAATGGATATCTTAGGCCCCTGTAAATCAAGACAGCTGCTTTGGGACCGCCAGCAAGATGACCGACGAACATAACAAGTCACACGCGTCCGAAATGTTAACCACAGACACGGAGGGGGGGCTTTTCCCGGGCTCTTACCTTACGATTTTCCCTTTTTTAGTCTCTCTGTGCCTCTAGCTCAACACCGCAGCCTTGTTTACCTTCTCCATCCACATGCACATGCGCACTGCTTCGCCACGCCCCCCCCTCCACTCGGGGTCATCGATGACGTCATTTCTGCTGCCCTTAAGACAACCTGAGCTGGTAATAACACTGGAGTCGTGTGTTAGGATCGTCTTCATCCACCCTGTCCCGCTTTCCGACTGCATATGATGAACAGAATTGTCCTGCTCAGCAGCATTACTCTTTTTGTCTTTTTAATGAGTCATATTTAATGATATCTAAAGTATGTGATCAAATCTCGGATTGCTGGAGGGAGGCTTATACTATTGTAATAGTAAACTTTATTTTATATAACGCCTTTAAAGGTGGCTTCTCAAAGTGCTTTACAGAACAACAACAACAACAACAATTAAAAATAAACAATAAAAAATACGCAAGATAGACACGATGAGAATACGCAGAGGAGACTGTGGATGGTGGTACTGAGTATAGTAGGAGCAGAGGGGTGAAGAATGGAACCAGTTCAGTAAAGGCTCTTCTAAAGAAGAAGGTTATGAGTCTGGATTTGAAGGAGTTTAGAGAAGGTGACTCTCTGATATCCTTGGGGAGAGAGTTCCAGAGCTTGGGGGCATAACAGGAGAAGGCCCTGTCACCCCTAGAGTGTAGCTGGGCTTGGGGGACAGTAAGGAGACCAGAATTAGAGGAGTGAAGGTTGTGAGCTGGGGAGTAGGGCGATAATAGTTCAGAGAGGTACCGAGGTGCCAAACCATACAGAGCCTTATAGGTGAGCATGAGGATTTCGAAGTCGAATCGAAACCTTACAGGAAGCCAGTGCAAGGACTCCAGGATAGGAGTAATGTGATCACTTGCACTAGACCTGGTCAGCATTCTGGCTGCCGAATTTTGGACATACCGCAGTTTGTTCTGTGTGGATTTAGATACCCCAGTGAGCAGAGCATTACAGTAGTCAATTCGGTAGAAGAGAAATGTGTCTTTCAGCTTTTCAGCCACAGTCAGTGATAACATAGGGCATAGTCTAGTGATGTTTTTGAGGTGAAAGAAAGATGTTTTCTTTCACCTCGGGTAGAATGTTAAGTTATACTATAGGCTCCTAAAGCAAATATTTATTTTCAAATTAAAATATGACAGCTTTAGCTGTCAAGTTATTTATAAATTTAGGACATATTGTACATTTTTTTGTTAGATCAAGTTAAAGGAAAACTCATTGTATTTCAGAAAACTATCTCTGAAAGACACCAACTCTATTGTCTTTTCTTCCCGGAAACGGTTAAGGTGTTAGAACTTAGCTGTATAAATTATTGGTAGTTCTTTTTTAAATTAGAGGGATAATTTTAAAATCAAATATTTACTAAAATGTGGGCTGCTGAAGATTTAAGTTTGTTAACAATTTCAAGAAAGCGACACATACTGTGCGTAAAATAAAATAAAAATCCACAGAATAGATCTGGGTACATTTTAATGATCGTTATTAGTAATGGAAATGAGATGCATGTATACTGTTCGCGTAATTGTATGAATCCAAACGTTTTGCGTCAGGTCCAGGAGTATAGTGAAGTGGTCACAGTGCCACCTGCTGGCGGTTTCACAAACGTGTGTTCACGTTCTGCCTCAAAGCTGATAATTGGAAGCCGTTTCCCTCCCTAGGGGACAAAAACATTACCGCCTTGTTACTATTTTAGAGGTAGTTTCACAAATGGCATTCTTAACGCTTAAATAATAGTTATTTTCTATTATTGTGATAACATATGATATGATGAAATGTTCACAATGGACATGAGTAGATGTTCATTTAAAACGGAAATGGTAATGGGTTCCTATGCAATTAAATCCTGTTTTTTGGGGGGTGGCTGCCAAACTCTAAACATCTTGGATTGACATTTTTGTTTTTCCCAAAATGGTACTGTACATCTGCATTATTGACAAAAGCCCCCGGCTGAGAAGAAATGGCTTCCTGCTCTCAACATTGAAACTGGTGAGTGACGACTGTGGTTGCTTGTAAGGCACTCAGGGGCTGAAAAATAAATAGACAAGGACAAGACCAGAAAACCCAACAGAGAGGGCATTCCGAAGTCTCTAGAAGTAGAAAGTCAGAATCTGCTGAAGAGCGGGTAAGAGCAGCTCATACAGATTGAAAACGTTGCCTTAGGTTTATTGGTTTGGTAGAGGGAGAAGCAGAGGTTAATTCCACACTGAAAAGTCAAAACAAAAGAAAATCACAAAATGTACGCTTTTTTTTTAGGTTTGTCGGGGAGTGAGGGAGACGGCAGAGATAAACCTTCTTTCTCCTTTGTTATTATTTTATTATGTTTACTGAAAAAAAAAAAAAAAAAATAATCAGTTAATATTACCCTCTGCTTGTACGTTTGATATGGATGGCCTCAGTGCATAAAACACAACCACTTTGCAGTTCCCACAGGCTGCAGACCTGCTCATTTCTCTTATAACGTCAGCGCCGTACTTTGTGAGAATCCGGAACATGACAAGGAGCACAGTAATCTTCTTGGAGGATTACAGTTCAGCCAGAAGTGCAAAAAAAAAAAACAGGAAAGAGATGTGTGAAAAGACAAACTATCTCTCCAGGGTGTTCGCCCTCAACAGCCGGGGTACTGCAGGGACTGTTGGGCCAATTAGAAGCTGATGTACATTGGAAGGAACAGGGTGGCAGATGGGTTGAAATCATTCCTCTGGACACTGATAATCCGAAAGGCAGGACAGCCACCCGAGCCTATCTGTGATCCTCATTCACGTTATCTGTGCACTTTGACAATCTGCATCGAGAAGTTGTATCTCTGAGGCCACATGAGAGAGCGAGAAACAGTTCATTCCTTACGGACACCCTTAAACTGTAGTGTACCTCTCCGCCATCTGTGGTCAAACAAATATGTGAAATAAGTTATTGATCAACCAATCATTCTAGAAAATGCATGAAGACGAAGAATCTGAGTCATATTCTGCATGCTTCGCAGTTGATGTTATAAGTTTTTTTTTTATTTTGCCTGATGATTGATGATGTACATATTTATGATGTAATCTGAGATGCACTTTAGGGACAGCATTGATCGAAGCAGACAGCTGTGCATATTCTGGCAGGCGTCAGATGTGCTCTGAAGTTGCACTATATTGCACAATCTTTGCAGGAGCTTTGGCCTGTTATGGTTTTAGTTTAAAACCAAATAGAAATATAGGATCACTATAGAAGGTAAGGCTCTGAAACCTACTGAATTGTGCCTGTTCATTATATTCTGTTATAACACTGTGTGTTGCACAGTGGTGTTATTGAGTATTAATATAAATATGCTTGTCTAATCCTCTTTATTAAACCATTATAAATCAGAATAAAGAATGCATGTACCACTCTGACTTCAGGGGGTGAAGTTAATAATAATAATAATAATAATTGCTTACACTTATATACATGTAGCGCTTTTCTGAACACTCCACTCAAAGCACTTTACAGGTAATGGGGACTCCCCTCCACCACCACCAATGTGCAGCATCCACCTGGATGATGTTATTCTTTATTATTTGCTTGTATAGCAAGCTGGTGTCAGATCATGATTTTGTATTGATTTAGTGCCCTCCTAATTTTATAATTTTAACTCTTAACACCCCCAGGTTTGTAACTACTGTATATAAATCAGAGGTCTCCAACCATGGGCACAGACGGCCCTAATTCAGCAGGTTTTACAGGTTATCATTAAAACACAAACAGCTATACGCCTTCTCTGTTGGATGACAATAATAAAATAGTCAAGAATGGTGATTTATCACAATAGGCTACTTGAGAGAAATGATGTAGATAGAAATACATTACTTTCCTCACACAACAGCTCTGATTCTTTTTGTATTCACGCCACAGTGCACTGTTTTCCTCTCTGGCAACCTCTGTTAAATGAATCCCAGGAATAATTTGGAATGTCTGTCTCTCCGCAATATTTGTTCTTTGAAGTGACTGAGCTTGCTCAGTATTCTGAGGGACGAATGATTAAATGGTTCTTAACAAGTTTCACAAACCCGTTAAACAGGAGTTATGCATCATTTCACCACATGATGGCAATGTAAAGTTTTCAAAATCTGTTTCTAACCCTGGGTACCTCCCCACAGCCCCCTGTGAAATGGACACACACTGTGTGGAATGTATCAGGGTCGCCTCCTGTGGAACAGGACATTGGACAGAAAAATGTGATTTTGCCAGCAACATTCTCTCAATAGGACTTCTTCATTTCCTAATTAATGAAGCCCAATAAAATTACTGGAGTTAATGAATACATTAAAATAAGACAGTTCCTTCCAAGTGCCATGACTATATTTTAGTGCAGAAATTCGGGGCATTTACATTTATTGTCATTCGGACACTCTCATCAGGGTAGTTTTCTGGTTGTACTCGTTAATTAGGGATTGCTATAATATACAATAATACCAGGATATAAGCTGTTACCCAGGGTTATTACCCATTTCTCATGGCAATGCATGTATTCATTGATAGCTACAGTTATAATCTATAAAAAGGCATGATACAGATAATATTTCCACCAGTGCATCCAGCCCAATGTAGCAGAAATCTGTCACACTCCTGGGGTCAAGCCCTAACTGCCTGCAGCACCTTGCTATCGGCCGCAGTTCTGCTGAACAGGAGCTTCTTGGAGCGTGCTTTTGCATGCGTTTCTAAAAACCACACATCTTTGTATAACATCTGTGTGGAGTGATGTAGCCACACAACCTCTTTCACAGCAGGGAGGATCATCTGCGGCCCTCGAGTATTCTTGTGTTTACTGTAGAGAGATTTGTTCTTAAAAAGAGAGTAGTGGGTAAATCACCTTACGAGAGGGTTGCAGGTTGGAGTTTTGATTGTGGACGCTTTCATATCATTCAGGAAGATACCTCAACTTATTAATGAGTATTAGTGTGGGTTAATGGCCCATGCAGAGGAAGAGCACAGACCTGGCCTGTCGGGTTGATGTCTCTTTAAGGCTGCAGCACCTGAACACCTGGGAGAAACTGTTAGATTGGTCTCATTACTGTACTTCACTGGTTACTTGATTTAGCCCATTAAAAGCTGAGTTGGAATGAAAACCTGCAGAAACACCCACACTCCAAGAGTGCTCAGCATGGTCTTACAGACATGGCAATTAGAACAGGGGTCTTCAGCCCCATTCCTGGTGAGCCCCGTTCCAGACTATTTTACAGGTGACCCTGCCAACCTGTTATTTAATGAATAAAAGCTCTTATTTAATGTATTGATCAATTAAGCTAGTAATTTGTTCAGTGGTCCTTAAGGCTAGAAGGGTGTTCCAGTTTTGTACAAAATTATATCTAGATCATTTATTTTAAAACAACACCAATTTAATTGATCAGAATTAAATTGTTCCAGGTCTTCAGGAATTGGTGATTTGATGGTTACTGATAAAAACCCCTCTGGACCGGGGTTCTCCAGGACCAGGGTTTGAGATCTTTGAAGCCATCAGGCTACCTTCAGGTCTCTTTAAATCAACAGCTGAGGGTTTCTGTAAAAACCAAGGCCCACTTAAGGCATGGAATAGTGTTCCACTCAACTAAGATAAGCTTCAGTCCTTATGACTGGCTTGAAACGCCCATTATCTATTCAGAGTCTTTATTTTGTTCCTTATTTTGCATGAACTTTTCCACAAGAATGGCTCATGAAAAGTTTTCTCACAGTTCATTGACACAAAACATATTGGATGAGAAAATTAGGAAGGTACCAGCATTTCTGGCTGATTTACGTCACTATACCACTGAGTCAGTGCAATGCTGAAACTTCATCATGTCATTTCTCATCTTGGAACCCCTTTCCTTAGCCCTTTTTAGAGTGAAATATTTGAGATGAATCATTGAACATCTAATAGGGTAAAAAGAAAAAGGAAATACAGAAGTTATCCATTGAGATGATTGCTATGTAAACGTGACCTATTTTATTCCAAATTAAGGGTCTAAGTTGATGTGACACATCACACACTATCCTGTGATTGTATATACAGTAAAGTAAGCTTTTTTATTAAACTCATTCAATATAGCAAAGTACAGTAATATGGGTAC